ACATGTATATATATATATATATATATATATATATATTGTATGTATGTATATAGCATGTATCCCTCTTGTTTAAAAACATTTTCAAATGTCCATTTTCCCCCCATGTCTGTTCCAGGAGTGACCCACAACATCCCCCTGCTGCAGGAGATCATCGCCCACCCCCGCTTCGTGTCAGGTGACATCAACACCAAGTTCCTGTATGAGGAGTACCCTGATGGTTTCCAAGGTAACGCACTGGACAATGTGTTATGTTTACCTTCACAGAAACAAAGGTTGTTGTTTTTGCTCGGTTTCTTCTTCTTCCTTTCCAAACAAATAAGGCCAATGACCTCCCAATGGTAACGTGGTGCTGTAGCAGCACCCTGTGGTGAAGGTTACTGGCCACTTTCCAACACAAATGTCTGTCAACATGGTAACTGGTGCTGTAGCAGACATCCTGTGGTGTTGGGTTACATTATGTTGCAAGTCACACTACAGAGTTGGACTCTGAGGGGGTGGTCGCCACATATATATGAATGCAAATGTTACCTTTCTACTGTTCAACATGTAACATGTCGGTATGCTAAGGATGTTCTGAATTTGCAAGCACCCAACAAAAGAAAAGGGAGATCTTTGTCAGGCCTTTTTCTGTGTTATGCACCTGTTAACAATCTCCTGTGTTGTGTGTTGTTAGGTTGGCAGTTGTCTGACACAGAACAGAGGGAAGTGGCTGCCATGGCAGCCTGTATCCACCTACGGGACCAGGTCAGGGCAGGGGCCTTCAAAAATGAGAACAGGTGACAACATATGAATGAAAACTCATCTCTGTTGGTAAAATCCATAGTTAAAGAGTTCAAACTTGTGAGTTTCTTCCTTGTGTTGGAACTCTTCAAGTTTGAACTCTTCAACTAAGGTGACAATATGTAATGTGCCGATGTTTTAGCTTGTGTCTGTTTCACATATAACCCTGGTAACCCTACTACAAAATCTACTACACTTATTAAATTGAAGCATGCCTCAGTCTTTAATGACTGAGAGACCCAGTGATCATTATGCACAGTGTACTATATGCACTTTAAGTATAAGGTGTTTTATGGTATTTCTTCTATGTTGCAGAATGCCCCTGCAGCCAGTGAAGCCCGGTGCCTGGGACATCACAGTTATTGTACAGGGACAGGAGATGCCTGCAACTGTCACAGAAAACCACGACAACTTCACTGTAAGTACACATTGTTTTTGTTTTTTTTCTTATATCATTTTCTTTTGTTGTAGTTTTGTATACAAATTTCAGCCTTACGTAATTCACACCCACTGTTTCTAGCCAGCAAATTGTTGGAGTACACACAAGTTTAACAAGTTTTGCCAACTTAATTTTGGCAACAATTTAGATTTTGTCTATGGTATTAGATTTAGAAAGCTTCTATATGAATTAAAGAAACTTACTCCTATTTGTTTCCTTTCTTTTAGGTTGTAATAGAAGGACAGACCCTGACAGTGAGTAAAGACTGGTCCATAGCAGCAGCTGTCATTGATGCAACAATTAACGGCCAACAGAACACGTTTCAGTGCATCTCCAGGAAAGGTGACAACATCAGGCTTCAGTTCAAGGGCACTGTGGTAAGTTTACATGTCTTTAGATCTTTAGATCTAGCTTCTAGATCTTTCTAATCAACATTTTGGAAGTAATGTACAATGTAGTAGGTGAAACTGAAAATTATCTCGAACCAGTTTAACTCAATGAGCGGTTAAGATACATTAAGATGCTCTTCCACTGGTGATGACAGAGAAAACAGTTGTTTGAGTTGATAATTTGGTGTGTACAACAGGTTTACTTCTAGAATGTGTGTTGTATAAAGCATAACAACGTGTCTCCTTTTTCCTGTTTAGTTCAAAGTCGAGGTCCTGCCAAAGAAAGCCACAGACTACATACACTTGATGCCAGAAAAACCAAAGGTAAGCAAACGAAGAGGGCTGTCTGCTGTGTTTCTAGAATGAACAATTTTTTAAATATTCTAAACACCTTGATTCTGTGTTGATAACTTTGGATAGAATAGGGTTACTATCAAGCCTCAGCATCTACAAACACATCCAACCCTTGGGAGATGGGCAACAACAGGCAGCAAACCAGATAATCAGTGTGAACAAGTGAGTTATAGTCGTTGCAGTTTATAGTTGTTTTCTAACCAGCTTGTATTTTTCTAGGTTGAGGCGAGTGGTGAGGTGCGTTCTCCCATGGCCGGTAGCCTGGTGTCCATATCTGTACAGCCTGGACAGGATGTAAGTATTCATTAGCCTTAAGAACTCCTCAGATTCATACAAGGTCTGACAAGGTGGTTCAGGGTAAAGATTGACATTCAAGCTTTAGAAATTTCTTCAACTTATCAAATATATCAAAAATATAATGCATAGACAATGTTTGAGTCTGATAAACTATCCATTCATTCTTTCGTTTATTTATTTTTTTTCATTCCTATTTTATTATGTGAATTTCTGCCTAATATTATTATTAGATTTTACCCAATTTGAGAATTATGAAAATGTTGAAAGGCCTGTATGACATTAATTTCTGCATGGTTTACAGGTCCTTTGTCCTTATTCAACTGTTGTAGAATGATTTGAATCCTTGTATTCCCACAGGTTGCTATTGGACAGGAGGTCTGTGTGATTGAAGCTATGAAGATGCAAAACAGCCTTACAGCTGACAAGAGTGGCAAGGTGAGAACTCAACACCAATGCTTACTGTATCTTCTGATTTGAAAAATATGAAAGCTAAAAAAAGATAAAGGTAGACCAATAGCCTTTTTTGAGGCCATAGTGGCAGTGGGTTGTTAATCCACTGTGTCTAGGGCACGGTATTGGAAGGTGGAGCCCATCCCTCTCCTTCTACTGCATTTTTCTTCCCCAACTGAAGTCAGGTACTCATTTTACACCTAGTTGGCAAGTTAGCTTTTATCTTTCCACACACATTTTCAGGAAGTGGATATTGTAAAAAAAAATGTTTTATCTCAACATTTCTGTTTTTATCGTGAAATCATTTTCACCATTGACTAAATTGTTGCTACTTCTTCTTTTTACAGGTGAAGGCGGTACACTTTGAAACCGGGAGCAACGTTTCAGAAGACGACTTGATATTAGAACTAGAGTAACTCAGGACTGTCCTTACATGTCATGCCTCTTTAGTCTTGCCCAAATAGTCAGAAAATAAAAGTTGCCCTTGCAGGGGTGTCTCTGTACTCTGTATTACAGCCTTTGGTATGAATTTATCAGTATTTAGGCACCTTATAATGTTTAGGGGGAGTCCGTAGTAAAGGACTAAAGTTGCTATTTTTTCAAGAAAGTTGAATGAACAGTCCTCCAAGACAGAACAGAAAAATGAGCCAGTGAAAACTAAAAAAAAAGTCTGTTGGGCCAAACAATTTGATGAAAATACAGGTGGAACAAATTGTTGCCAAAGAAAATGGCCAAAGAAAATGTTTAGCAGGGGAAAATGAATTAGCTTCTCATTTCAAATACTCTGTTTCATAGTCAGTTAAGGTAATACACGGGTGAAGGTAATACATCTGTTCTATGCTTATAATATACAAAAAATGTATGTACATGATATTGTGGTCCACTGTAGCTATGTTAAGGATAACAATTTATTTGAGAGATATCACGTTATCCCTGTCATTGGTGTTAGGGTGCCACTAAAGAAGACAACTTTTCTCCTTTTTCTCTTCTTGCTTGCTCTCAGGGACTCTGCCACGTTTGTCCAATTCTGTATGTTGTCCTCCCCTTTTTGTCTTCTTCCTGGTTTTCTAATAGTATTAGGTCCCGATACTTGTGGTGGGTAACAAGGCTTGATGACTAGGAGACATGGCTGTACTGTCTCATCTTTTTTTCGTAATTTATTGTAAAGAAACATCATTTGGTCCTGTAACTTGTTCTGTCCTCTTGCAGAACTTCTCAAATGTATCATGATCCACTTAGAAAATGCCTAATTATGATCTTTCTATAACATTACTGTCTCACTCACTACTGTCTACAAATGTATGTGAATATTGTAGGTTGGCCTTGAAAAAGTTCTACATCAATTTGCTTCCAAAAACAGGGTGACCTATTCCTAATGTACAACATGGTGTCAATTCATGTAAGTAGATTTCTGTGGCCTTACTAGACAATGAACAGTATATACATGTACATGTACAGCACAGTAAGGACTTTTGATGTGTTACATTTAGCTGTTGTTGTTGGAAGGGAAGACTTAAATGAAGGTGTATTGTCCCAAACGATCATAACATTGATCAATCTACTTACCAAGAAAGAAAATAGGGTACAATGCAGATGTGTCCTTTTTGTACCCCTGCCAAATATTGTGAACCAGGTATTTAGACTGTCATTTAGTTAGGTCTGACATTGTTTAACAGATAGGAAGGTTACAATGTGTACGTGTACATGTATGTTGAGTGTATATTCTTCCAGAACTTCGTAACACTGACTACACAGGTATTTTTGGTCCAAACTGTCACAGTGGAACAGTACAATGTACAACCTTTTCCCATTCATAATATCTAAAGGGTGTGCCTGAATTGTGCATAATAAAATCTTCTTCAATCTGTATTTCTTTGAAGTTCTGTCATTTTTACTGTTAGTCAGATCAGTGAATGCCAAAACCTATCCATTCAAACCTACAGACTAGGACTTGTTAATCCTTAAGAAAATAAATGCTTACAAAGAGATGCATATGTTACTAGGGGTTACACGTTAATGTTCCTGAAAATATTTACAGTACATATGAAACCCAGGCCTTTGATATATGTGCTCATATATAGGAGGAAAATGAGTGCATGTTGTTACAAGGATTAGAGGACTTCAGATGTGTTTGATTTTGGCCATTTGTGGATGCAATATTAGTCAACAGTTATCAATGGTCTGAGAGTTTACAAAGCAGCGTCACCTGGGCGTACAAATCATCATCAGTGTTACTGGCAATATTGACAATATCCACATCGCCTCTATACGGCCACACCAAGTAAATTTTATGGATGACGTCCGCGCGCGCATTGATTTTGGCCTGTTCCTAGAAAAAAAAAACAAGAAATTCCGCTTCCTGTAACTATGACCAAAGAGTCACGACAGTGCCGCAAATCGTTAGATTGACGTGAACCCCGTAACGCGAAATGGGTAAAGAGCACATGCTTTGTTTCTGCAGGCCTGCAAAAATGTGATGAAAGAAACAGTACAGGATGATAACTGCTGTTCCACCTGATTCATTGCTTTTTTGATGATGAATAACTTCTTGCTTGTTACACTGTGTCACCTCATTCAATTTGTGTCCTAACATTTGTCGTCTCTTAGTTTATTTCTAATCTTGGCATCTTGTTTTTCAGGGCCTTTCTTGTTTTTTTTTCGCCCTCTCGCATTAGATTTAGGGTCTCCAAAGGACGTCATCCATAAAATTTACTTGGTGTGGCCTACTAGTATATCCACCATATACATCGCCAGACTTGTAGTTACTGATGAATCATTTTCGTCTGATGTACAGTAATCACTTGTAATCCTACTGACACACATCTTTTCGTGGCTAGAAGGCAAGTAAATGTCACAGCAATTGCTTGTGGAGAAGTGAAGACATGGAAAAATGGAGTAAAATTGATAATAAAACTGCCCACGAAGACCATTCAGGGGGCCTATAAAATCCAAGTGGTCAGTCACTCACTACAGAGAGGATACTTAATAGTTGTGTTGTGCTAATGGAGAAAGGTATCTAAGGGGCCACTCAAAAAGTGATTTTGCACTACCACAGGGCAATGACCTCCTGGACGTTATACTCCACGAGGGGCAGTGTCCAGTATCGCATAAATGTAGATGTAGATGTGATCCTTATGTAGAAGTGGTCACTTGCACAAGTTTGACTGTAATCGGAAAACTTTGGACAGATGCTTACACCTGAGTAGTAGACTAGCCCTACCAAACCGCGCTCCTGGCGGCCACCAGCCCGAAGGTTGACGCCCCCAAAAGCAGTTCATCAACCTCCAGCCGAGAGAGCCTATGTAACACAGGCTAGTAGTAGAGCCTCCACCAGGCCTTTCGACGGGAATACGGATCGTAGAATTCGGCAAAAAAAGAGAGTAAAATTGGTCAGGGGAGTCCGGCCGCGGGGAGGTAGTTTCCCTCCGAAGCGGCGACCAGTCAAACCCCAAGACGGCCAAACTCCCCTGGCAAATATTCTCCTATATATAGCCAGCGTAGTTGGTCTGGTAGAGACTAGGGTTCATTAACCTCCGAGAGAGCTTGTGTAATACAGGTTTGTAGTAGACATGCGGCGCTATCAGTTGGCAAGACGATTCGGCGTCCGTAGATAAACAACATCATCATTAAGAGAAGAAATACGGGAAACTTCGCCCCCTGTTTCTTTTGTTCCAGAAACATTTGGGAAAACACTGAGTCATCGATGACGTCATGTCAACATTTGCGGCATATTATTCAAAACTAACATTGTAAATGATCATGAATGAAAATCTCACGACTAATATGTTATGCTACGCAACTATGAAATTTCAATTTTGTATCAACCTTTGATATATTTGTCATTTTATCATATTCTATTAGTTGGACTAATATGCAGGCCACTAAACTAGCTAGCGGATATTGTGGACTAATATCAAAAAGTACAATCACATTAAAACAAATTTGAACTCATCAAAGTCCAATATCAATGCACCTCATTATGCGATATATATCAAATAGATATGCTTAATTTGAATTTTTAGGTTGTAGATACTGCTAGCAAGTTTTTATTAAAACCCCTGGCAACAACACTTTATTATTGATTATTGTTCACTAATGTTTCGCCCACAATAAAGCAAATTTGAACTCGCCAAAGTCTAGTATCAATGGGGCCATTTTGCAACGTATATCAACGAAATATGTTTAATATGAGTTTTCTTACCCGTAGTTATTGCTAGCAATTTTCATTAGAACCGGCCCTGGTAAGACACTTTGTAAAGATCGTTGTCCTTGATTTCTGTTGACTAATGTTACTCCCACAATAAAACAAATTTGACTTAATCAGATCCTAGTAACAATACGGCTCATTCTATGACAAATATCAAAGGACCATAGCTAATACGCGCAAACAAAGATAATAAAGAAACCTTGATTTCCAATTTATGACCAAACTGACTAAGTACCTGTCTTTGTGTCCGATAAATAAAACTTAGGCCACACCAATTTAATTTGTTGGTTCTCGGATTTTTTCAGAAAAAAATATGAAGCGACAGGGCGAAAAAAAATAAAATAAAAACAGGTCTAGGCATCCTATTATAGCCCCAAATGCTACAATATGAGCCATGAAGTCAACAAAAAAGGCTGGGTAAAAATCTAAAGTATAAATTTTGAACTTTTAACCAAACCACTGCATTGATAGATGGAAAAAACTGTAACAACTAGGAAGAAAAGGAATTTCCTCAACTGTTGGGGGCAAAATATGAGCATTTTTGAGTTGATTCAGAACCAGTTTTTTTTTTTTTTTGCAAATCAGAAAAAAATGAAGAGGCGAATCCGAGAACCAACAAATTAAATTGGTGTGGCCTTAAGTCTCACCTAGATGAAAGTTCTCATGCCATCCGTGCACGTTTCACTTTATCAGAACATTTAAGCACGTGCCTTTTTACGTTACATTTTGCTGATAGAGAAGAAAATGTTTAAAAGCGGAACTCGGCAAAAGCCCTACGCTCGTTTGAAACAGGTGCGAGTTCCCAGTACAGCCGAACAATCGCAAAATGATGGAAAAACAATAACGTTTCAATGACCCAAATGCAGTTCAAATGTTCATTGACATTTTTACACGTCCTTATCGCAAAAAGCCATCAGCAATTTGATCCATTGGTTTGTGAGATACGTTTCACGCGCTGAAGTGCTTAGTGACAATAAGATATCACTAACAGAACAAAGGAACGACCTAAAGAACAAAGTTGCCTTTCTACTTGTAGTGGCGGCGTATTTGCTTACCTCTCAGAGACACGCGTTAGGGCGTATCGTACAAGGGCGGGGATGTGTAAGGAAAAATAAATTACCGAAGTTTTTCATGTTCAAAGGAAAACAGATGCTGAGAAGAACACATGTGCGTTCGGCAGTGGGTCAACATGCTAGCCGTGTGTTCTTTCTTCCGACGCTTTCTGTCGGTGTCTCTTTTAAGCCAATCAGAACCAGAGAAATGAGAGAAAAGTGAATAGAGCCAGTGATAAAATATCAAACGTCTTTCCGGGGCCGGTATTAGAAAGGGGTACAGGATCTAATTAAGGCGGTTATTAGGAGCTGTAGGGTTGTTATATAAAGGTGTCGCACCAGGCATAGGCTGTCCTCACTTCACCTGACGACTGAGCAGAGTTCTGAAGAAATTTTCGCGTCCGACTTCACTTCACATCCAAGTACTGACCATAAGGTATGTTTCAAACGGTTTCTTTAAAGTTTTTTTTTCGTCTTACATTGCGATCAGGTACTGTTTTGTGTGTCGTTGGGCGTTGACTGTACTGTAGCAGTGGACTGTCATCGTGAAAATCGTTCTCAGTTTTTGTAAAAGCCGAATCGCATAAGTCTCTTTTGCAGTTTATGCTTTTAATTGAAAGCACTCTATTGCAATTTTCGACCCATCCAAATTCGTTTCTAAAAGACCGTATTGTAGCCTGAACCACGCCTGTCTAGTCCATGCCTGAGTGAGTTAGGGTTAGGACCAGGCACGGGTCTGGATAGTCTCTGCGTATCCAAGAACGTAGATTTTCCCCATTCGCGCACGGTTCTGGAGACGCGTTGACTATCCAAAACCGTGCCAGAGCATGGTTCAGGATAAAGCACTGGATACAACAGATCATGCACATGTGTATGACTGAGGCGTGAATTGCATCCTTCTTACTTTGTACTTTTTCTGATTGTTAGTTTGTAGGAGGACCGCTAGCTGAGAAAGAAAAAACGATGCTGTTACTAACGTGCGCGCTGTTGGCGGCTGTCGGACCGCTTGTAAGCGGTAAGTACAATGTTCAAACCTTACTATATATATACTTCGAACTTAGTCGGAATTATGCGACTTACAGCTTATTTTGTGGGGAGAGTACTCAACTTTATCAAACGTTATGTCTTCATATGCGTATGGTATAGAGCGTAACTTCGCCTATCCTTGCCCTGTTCACATCCTTTAAGAAAACATTTACAACCATAATCTCCAAGCAAATGTACCATCTCAGCTTGCATTTTGTGGCGGTCTGTAAAGAAATTATTCCACCCAGGTGTAAAATAGGAACCTGACTTCGGTTGGGGAAGCAAGAGGTGGCGGAAGGATAGGGATGGATTCTGCCTTCTAAAACTGTGCCCTAGTTACACAGTGGATTAACTAGATTGACTTGCAAGTTAATGTCCAAGGGCTAATTGCAAACATACATTGACAAGAACAACGAGTACAGAATGTACAATGTATTGAGGAATGGAATAAAACCATATGCTAACACGCCTACGTTCTACTAATCTAACCTTCTATCTCTACGTAAAACTAATACCGTAGGTATACGTGACAGTGAGTGGATATGTAACACATCAAAAACCCATGCCCCTACGGCCTGAATAAAGACCTTGAGTCTACCTTGAAGCTTTACCTTCTTTTTACCCCGCCCATGACCAGGGGAGTGTATGCTCCCCCGTCCGCCTAGGATGGGCTTCTTCGATGACGTGAACCCGCGCATGCGCAGCACGGCGGGCCAGACGCTGAAGATCTCGTGCGACACCGGGTTCGTGCCGTCACCCTCTGACGTCATGACCTGTCGGGCCGACGGCACCTGGACGGAGGTGTCCTGCGTCGGTGGGCGGAGTCCGATTTACACTAGAAATAAACATCCGATTTACACTAGAAATAGTTTGCCACCGGATAACTGCGTCCGATTTACACTATAACTAGTAGACGTCTAAAACCGTTGCCACTTCAGAACTGTGTTTTGCGTTGCTAAGCTAACATTTCGCTCCATTTTAATCATAACCATATATTTCATGTGTCCTGCATTGCAAGGGTTTCTAATACCTCTCTGTGGACAGTTCACAGCCTTTCCCAACTGTATAATAGCCCAGGGAAAAATGTAGAATTTACAGGCACTGCAATGTAACATGTTAATGTAACTGTAAAATGTAAATGTAACATGTAAATACATGTACGTCACAATGTATCCATTAATATATCCATTTTCGGCGCTACTCCTTTCTTCCAGAGGAGGGCGAGGCCTGCTATGGAGAGGAGGAAACCGTCTTCTTTAACTTTGACCGACGTGAGAAAACTTACCGATATTTCTTTCACCCTGTTCGTTCCGTCTTTCTCCCAGTTTGCACCTAGTTCGTACAGTCCCCACGTCCTAGGTTGTAACAAATGATAAAAAGTATAAAGTTACCCTGTTACATGTTTGAATGTTTGTTTCCTTTGTTCCAAAGGTGCAGTACTAACTGCTCTCGCTATGTTGTGTAACAGTTTGTTTACCCCAACTGTGCAATTGTGTCGACTGTTAACGTTATACGTTTCTTCCCCTTGTTCTAATTATGTACAACGTATATTATCTTAAATTCGTTTTTCTTGTTTTGATAGATTATTTTCCCTTTGTTGTACAGTCCATTTTGTTACTCCCGGTTTTGTCTTTGTCGTCCGTTGATGCTTTGCAGATTAATGATTATTCTTTTGTTTGTTAATTTTTAGCTACTTATCATTTGAACTTTCATCTAATTCAATCTATTATAACGCTTTATAATATTTTTAATAACCAGGGGACTGATTATGATTATGAATTACTTACCAGTAAAACAAATAAAGATCGACGTCTTCTAACACAAAGCAAGTTTCAGGATACAACAATCATCAACTTTATCCACTTTTCCTCCCGCAACCCCCTTCCCTATTCCACCTCACCAGTTGGCCTGTGCGACCTCCCTCCCGTGCCGTTATTTGGGTACTTTGTCGGAGTGAACCCCGCCGACACCTACGCGCTGGGAGACGCCCTGACTGTGGAGTGTAACGCCGGGTACCTCGCCGTGCCTTCTAACGTCATCACCTGCCAGGCGGACGGGTCATGGGGGCCCACTGTCAGCTGTTTCGGTCCGTCAGCGCTAACTCTTCCATTCATTCATTCATCCATTCATTCATTCATTCACTCATTCTTTCACTCATTCTTTAATCGATTAATTCATTTATTCAGTCTTAGTCATATGTTCATCCAGACTTAAACTTTGATTTAATGGTTGCTATGGCTTTCAGCAATGAGTTACAGTTTTTTTTCGTTTCTAAAATTCTCTTTCAGTCTCTATTTTGATCTAACATTGACTGATCTAACATTATCTATGATTGCTAACCTGATTTTCGTTTCAGAAGATTAAAGTTGATGTGTTAAGTTCTAGCAAAAGTTGAAGGTGCTGTTTAATAATGGAATATACTACTTTTATTTACTTACTCTTGCATTTGCAGATGCTGACGCTCTCATGGCTGGACCAGTGATGATGGACATGGCTTTTGAAGAAGGTTTTATTTCCAGATCCGATCTATGAATAACTTTTATTTATCTAATCTATGTATATCTAACTAACTAACTAACTAACTAATACTTTTCTCTTCTAATCCTAACTATCTGGATTTATTTAATGTATGTATATGTAAATAACTAACTAATAATCTTCTCTTTTAATCGTAACTATCTGCGCGTTATAAAACTTTAAGAATGACAAACAACAGAAACCTCAATTGACGACCCACAGGTCTTCCTTGTGTCATGTTGTTGCGTTTTTCTTGTATTAAAAAGAAAGGGAATTGTTTTTCCTCCGCAGCCAAGCCAGACGAGGTGACCCCTCCCCCACTGGTGGTACCTGACAAGATGTGCGCTTTCCCCATTACACCTGCGTTCGGACACATGCAGGTGAGAAAACGTCTTCCGCATGACAGTTCATCTACATTATTTGTATCTTGGTAAAAGCCAATGCATAGCGAACACACCAATACGTGGAGGCCATCAAGACCCGTGCCGGATCCTAATCGTAACCCATTGATGCATAGAATTAGATACGCGCCGATACTTTTGGATATGGTGGAAGTTACTTTCTTAAACTCTTAATGGTAATGTAAATATTAGACAATTGACGTCAGCCGGGTTCTGTAACTGTCAACCTACAAGTTGAAAAGAACGCTCAATGGTACTTATGGTTCGTTGAGTTGTTATATGTTAACATACTGATCATGAGCATATTCTGGTCATCTACAGATTTACTAATAAACCGTCTTGTACATAAAACAAACCTTATTCTAATAAACCACTAGGTGAGCGGTATCAACATCGGCGCCACCGCTACCTTCTGGTGCGACGCAGGGTTCTCACTGACCGGTGCAGGCACCATTCACTGCGAAGACAAGGGGCAGGCTACAGGGTCCTGGTCGGATCTGTACCCTCGCTGTACCCGTAGGTTAAATCTCCACATTTCATCTTCTTGTGATTCATTTCTTCAGTTGCATCAGACCTTTTTTGTGTGAACTTTTAATGTGTAACTCAAGCATTGATTTTTGTCAAAGCTCAAATATTACTTTCTTATTTCAGCATCTGCTGACCAAGCCTTTGGCGGTAAGTAAAAAACAAACTATCCGTCTTGAATCTTTGTTACAGAATCATCCAGACCTATCTAGAACACTTAATATGATTTCAGAAGACTTCTTTGTTTTAAGTGATTTTGTCTGTCAGTTGACTCTTTCATTGCTGTGAAGTAATGGACATATTAATTTGTACCAGGAGGAAACGACGAGGTGGTCACCCTCCAGACTCCCCCCAACAAGGTCTGCGCTTTCCCCATCACTCCTGCACATGGGCACATGACGGTAAGGAAAATAGGCTCCCTCTGATATCTTAGCCATTTTTTCCTTTGTGTTGGGGTTGCCAATTAAGTGCGAACTGATCTTGGGGACGCGTCAGACTAAGTTTGAGTACTAATTGACAAAATACAAAAAAAACTGCTACTCGAGCAACTGGATAGAGTGTCAAGCGTTTGACAGTTTTCAAAATCTAGCTATACAGTTTAAAATGTATCAAGTTTCTTGCCTAGCATTTTCTTGTGCATAAAAAATATGTTCATTTTCTCCAGGTTACAGGCACTAACATCGGTGCCACGGCCACGTTCAGCTGCGATCCAGGCTTTACTCTGACCGGTGCAGGCACCATTCACTGTGAAGACCAGGGGCGGCCTATGGGGTCCTGGTCTGATCTGTACCCTCGTTGCACCCGTATGCCCCCTTTTTTCTTTTATTCACTTTCTGTTGGGCTTAAGTCGTTTTCATCTTGAAGTACTTTTTGATGATGATAGAATATCAATATGGTTTTCTCTATCATTACAGCGGCTGCTGACCAAGCTTTTGGAGGTAAGAACAAGTATCCTTTTTTCGCGAAGATCATGGATGATCATGAATGAAAGAATGAATTGAAGGACAAACAGATGAACGAAAGCGTAACCACATTCATCACAAACACAAACAACACGTAATGTTATACATAGTGTTTCCTACCATCAAGCGTTTACATCACCTTTACAAACCTGTTTTTGCTTGTTTGTTTTTTTTGTTTGTTTGTTTGTTTGTTTGTTTGACCTTGCATGTTTCCTTGTCTCTGTTCAGGTGCCGAGGACGAGGTGATATTTTTGCCGCCAATCCAGACCCTTCCCCCCAACAAGGTCTGCGCTTTCCCCATCACACCTGCACACGGACACATGACGGTAAGGAGGAGAAGCTTTTAATGACAATCCTTTTTGTCTGCCCATGGTATAATCCATCATTATTATGAGGATTTTTCTAACGAATTTGCTCAATGCAAGGCCAAAAGACCTCTTCTGGGCACTGAACTAAGTAGGTGTGAGATATAGGCGACTGTGCTTTGAAGATGGTGGTTAACGTTTGCTGTAGAAGGACGTAGAGATTGGTATTGGGCGGTGTAACGATGTGAGCTAGAAGAGAAAACTGCATACGGAGGACAAAATGAGGTTTTATGTGTGATTCCATAGAGATAGAAAAACGACTTTTAACTACATGGTGATTTTTATCCAGGTTACAGGCACTAACATCGGCGCCACGGCCACCTTCAGCTGTGACCCGGGGTTTACCCTGACCGGTGCAGGCACCATTCACTGTGAAGACCAGGGGCGGCCTATGGGGTCCTGGTCTGATCTGTACCCTCGTTGCACCCGTATGCCCCCTTTTTCTTTTATTCACTTTCTGTTGGGCTTAAGTCGTTTTCATCTTGAAGTACTTTTTGATGATGATAGAATATCAATATGGTTTTCTCTATCATTACAGCGGCTGCTGACCAAGCTTTTGGAGGTAAGAACAAGTATCCTTTTTTCGCGAAGATCATGGATGATCATGAATGAAAGAATGAATTGAAGGACAAACAGATGAACGAAAGCGTAACCACATTCATCACAAACACAAACAACACGTAATGTTATACATAGTGTTTCCTACCATCAAGCGTTTACATCACCTTTACAAACCTGTTTTTGCTTGTTTGTTTTTTTTGTTTGTTTGTTTGTTTGTTTGACCTTGCATGTTTCCTTGTCTCTGTTCAGGTGCCGAGGACGAGGTGATATTTTTGCCGCCAATCCAGACCCTTCCCCCCAACAAGGTCTGCGCCTTCCCCATCACACCTGCACACGGACACATGACGGTAAGGAAGAGAAGGCTTTACCGCTTTTTGTTTGTCCCCAGTTAAAGTCATCGTTAGTACGTTTATATCGACTTTGCTGAATGCAAGACCAAAAGACCTTTTCTGGGCATTGTATTGAGCTAAGTTGTTGGATGTATAGTTGTCTGTGCTAGGAGATGGTGGTAAACGTTGGTTTTGAAGGCTTGTAGGTTATGGAATTTTTTTGCGAGTTTGCTCAATGCAAGGCCAGAACACAACTTCTGGGCACTGAACTAAGTTTTTTTACATATAGGTGACTATGCTAGTGGGTGGCGGCTAACGTTGGTTTTGAAGGCTTGTACGTACATGTAGGTTGGTTGTATTTGGGAGGAAAACACTTCAGGTCCATGGAAAGAAGCCGTAGGACTTCAGTGGTATGAACTAGAAGAGAACATTGCATGTGCAGGACGAAACGAGTTTTGATATGTGATCCTATCTTCTCCAGGTTACAGGCACTAACATCGGCGCCACGGCCACCTTCAGCTGCGACCCTGGGTTTACACTGACCGGTGCAGGCACCATTCACTGTGAAGACCAGGGGCGGCCTATGGGGTCCTGGTCTGATCTGTACCCACGTTGCACCCGTATGTCTTTTTTTCTTTTATTCCCTTTCTGTTGGGCTTAACAATTAAGTTGTTTTCAACTTGGATTATTTTGGTAATAGTACAACACCAATATGATTTTCTCTATCATTACAGCGGCTGCTGACCAAGCTTTTGGAGGTAAGAACAAATATTCTTTTTTTTTTTCGCAAATATCATGGATGGATGGATGGATGGATGGATGGATGGATTAATTAATTGAAGGATAAACAGATGAACGAAAGCGTAACACCAAACTCAAACGACAAGTAATGTCATACGTCGATGAAGGTTAGACATCCAGGTAATGATGTCTAACCTGCAAAAAGCAGTTACTCATTGACAAGCAACTGGATATGATTTTGGAAACAGACGTTTCAGGTAGCATCCACTACCTTTCGTCAGTGACAATGTTATACATAGTCAGGGTTTCCTACCATCAAGAGTTTACATTGCCTGTACAAATCTGTTCTTGTTTTGTTTGTTTGTTTGTTTGTTTGTTTGACCCTGCCTGTTTCCTCGTCCTTCTTCAGGTGCTGAGGACGAGGTGATATTTTTGCCGCCACTCCAGACCCTTGCCCCCAACAAAGTGTGCGCCTTCCCCATCGTCCCTGCAAACGGACACATGACGGTGAGTGGAAGCACTTATATATATGAAGAAGTAACAGGTTAAATTTTATCATTTCATGTGTGAGCAAGTCTTAACCAACATACTTTAGACACGATCGCATGTAGCTTTCTTTCTGAGCATGACTTTGTGGTTGTGCGCAGATTTTGCTTTCTTTATCCATTTATTGGTTTCGCTGTGACATAACATACAATTAAGGCTTCTCGTCTAGTGCTAGATTCAGTCCTTGTTACAAAGTACAAGTCGAGTCCTGAAATGTTCTACAGACTTTGAACAAGACGAAACAAGAAACATGTCACATAGTTCTTATAATATCTTGTGTACAAGGTGTAATACATACAAATAATAAATTTTTCCAGGTTACCGGCACCAACATCGGCGCCACGGCCACCTTCTGGTGCGACGCAGGATTCTCAATGACCGGTGCAGGCACCATTCACTGTGAAGACAAGGGGCTGGTCACTGGGTCTTGGTCTGACCTGTACCCACGTTGCACCGGTATGGTCACTATCTTCCTGTTTTGTGTGGAAATAGCCAAGTTCTTGCTACTTTTCCTTCAGCAGGGTCGATTTTTTTGTTCATTTCAATCATATGTTCTTTCCCGAGTAACCAAGCGTTGTTTTTTTTTTCTATTTCAGCATCTGAACAAGCCTTTGCAGGTAAGACACTGCCTATGCGTGATAAAACCTTGAACACCCTTTCAAACAAACAAAAAAGCAAAATAACCGCACAAATTTCGAACAGTTCTATCGCCTTCTTCAAGAATATTGACCCACTAACTTCTGACATGTGACTACATGAGTGTATGTACATCATCATTCACATTTTGCCCTCGTAACAACGAAGACCTTTCTCCTCTGAACTTAAGGCGGACAGGAAGAGATCACCTTCGTCCCTGAGGAGCAGGTTACCTGCGCGCTGCCCTCCCCTCCCCTGTACGGGTACTTCCTCCTGCTGAACCCCCCCGCCGTCTCCGCAGTGGGCGAGTCCGTCGTCATCGAGTGCGACACTGGTTACGTCACTTCCCCCTCCAACACCATCACCTGCCTGGAGGACGGGACGTGGGGACCGACCGTCAGCTGCGTCAGTACGTAAACATCTGTTGGTTTGTTTGTTTGTTTGTTTGTTTGTTTGTTTATATGTTGTTGGCTACTAATTTGTCAGTTTGTTCTGGATTTAAACTAAGTATCAAATATTCAATTTTTTCGTATTACGTTTTCCAGTTTTACGCTTGTTTGCCAAGCTGTTTGGTAAAAGTCAAGTAATATTGATTTGCTGATGAGTCGAAATAAGCTTCAGCTATTCACTGGTTGTCCTTTTTTACGTTTTTCAGATGAAGACTCTATCAACCAAGCATTCGGAGGTGAGCTAACGCCTACGCAGTCTTAAAACCTTTCTTTTCAAGCTATATGCAAATCCTACTGAAGCAATGACATAGCTCTCATAGATGGACCGCAATGGATACGACTAACGTTTGATAAATTTTAGCTGCTATCCAGTTTCGTATTATTAATTCGTTAACATGTTAGCTTACCTGGATGTTTCAGAATCGTCATCAGACGACCCTCTCAGTGAAAGTTTCTTACAGTGAAAGTTTCTTCTGTCTTTCTCAGGTGGAGACGAGGTTGTCACTGCCCCTCCACTTGTGGTACCTGACAAGGTGTGCATGTTCCCCATCACACCTATGCACGGACACATGCAGGTGAGAAAACATACTTCGATGAAGGTTACACACTCAGGCAAGAACAGTTACTCAAGCAGCCTCCAAAATCACATCCAGTTGCTTGAGTAACTGTTTTTTGGCGAGTAAAGCTACTGTGCAGATGGCACACGTGAGTCGATGAGCTGTGGATCATATGTTGAAGATAGTCTGTGGCGGCCCCCGTCTATCTCACGATTGTTTGCACTGCAATCTCTCAGATACGACTCTTACAATGTTGTTTTGTATCCACAGGTTAGCGGCATGAAGATCGGAGACACGGCCACCTTCTGGTGCGACGCTGGCTTCTCACTGATCGGTGCAGGCACCATTCACTGTCAAGACAAGGGGCAGTCGACTGGATCCTGGTCCGACTCCTTCCCTTACTGCGCCGGTATGATATCTTTAGAATTCTCTACTTTTTTTGGTTGATGATATAATAACATTTCTTTGCAATTGGATACAACCTCATAGACATTTATTAGATGGAAAAAATATAACAGCAACAACAAACTTTAAGCTAACTATAAGAAATTCTATTTGCAATGACTGCAAGTAACCTACTAATCATAATCCGAACTTCATTGTTGATGTAAACCGTTACCCAAACCCTACGTCATATATGTTATTGGTAAATCCATGCAAAACCATAACAATTGCCATAATTACAATGCACAAACTATATTAATAAAACTTTTCATTGAACATATATTTACGTGTACTTATACCATACAAACCGTGTATCCATGCCACAGCCGATGCAGCCTTTACCGGTGACGATGAGGTGTTCACCCAGCCTGGTTGCCGGGACCCTGACATGGGAGACCGGCTGTACCTGGTGGGGCAGTCCTGGGGCAAGCACGTTCGCGGCGTCACCTACAGCTGCGAGTGCGAGGCCGACCAGCAGTTCTCCTGCAGGGAGGGGTCAGGCATCGACTGGGCAGGTACGTACACCGCCATGAGATTAGTATCAATGTAGCAAACAAGCGAATTCGAAGTGACGAATTCGAACGGACGAATTCGAACGTATTCTATATACGTTCGAATGGAAGAAAAGAATAATGAAACGAAAGAACGACCGAAAAGGACGCGCAAATGCGCCCCCTTTTCTCATAACTAGGTCGTCATGTGTTATTTTTTCTCATCTTCATGACGTGCAAGTTAAGAAATCTAATAGTTTTTTTTCCTTCCTGATTTTCAGCCCTTGGATTTGACCTTCAGCACCCCCCACAGGCTCAGGGTAAGGCTTTTGAGTTTGTTACATTGCGTCATTTCAAACAATATTGGTGCACTTATTCCTCATTCATCGAGTAATAACTCCATCCATCAATTGAGTAATTACTTGAAAAAAGCAGCTTCTTCTAACCAGCACTGCTAGAAATCAGATTTCGATGGTTCAGAAAGCTTTAACAAAAATTTATTCCGCATTCCAGCCTTCTCAGCTGGTTCCCCGATAGCAGTAGAGGCGACCTCGGGATGCTTCGACCCGGACATGGGCCACTCGTTCGAAACCGGGAGCCGCTGGGCCAAGGCGGTGTCCGGAGAGATCCAGGTGTGCGAGTGCCAGGCCGCCGGGCGCGGGGGACAGCGGCTATCCTGTCATCTGGCGGGTAAGCAGCCTTGGGTGGATTCCAGGCTAAATAATTAGCTTCGTGAGTGGAATGATCAGGATTTGTTGTGAAATTTTGTTTAGACTACAGTTAAGTAACTCTATTTAAGTTGACGTTCGAGCCGATAAGCTAGCCGGCATACTGGCCCTGGCAACAGTCTGGCCCAGGCTAGTCCAGGAACCGAGGAGCTAGCCTGTATACTGGCCCTAGCAATAGTCTGGCAACCAGGCTAGCTCGTAGGTAGCCTGGCAGCTAGACCATCGTTGACTAGCTCCCGGGTATTTCTTCGGTCCTGGGGCACATATGCTTAAGAGGTCAAATCCGGCCCCCTGCAGCTTTAGGCCTGCTACGACGTTTCGGTGACCATATGTCATCTTCTTCAGGGCAATTATGACTGCACTGGTGCACAGTGAACCAGTCATAACTATCCTGATGAAGATGACAGACAGTCATCGAAACGTCGGCTCTTCATAAACAAGTGGCTGTGAACAAAGATCTGTAACATTCACTGTACATGTCCTGTTTCCGCTTCTAGGAGACGCCCAGGTCAGGTCCGGTCCTCTGCAGCTGGAGGCCTGCTATGACGAGGAGACCGGACAGGCCTACCTGATCGGGCAGCACTGGATCGAGGGCCGACTGAACAAGGTCTGCCACTGCGTCCCTGGCGACAACATCGTCTGCCAATAGAACACAAACCCCCAAACATCGACACAGATCTCCGCTTTACAAAGAGCGGTTTGTATCTGCTGTATCTGTACCTGTATCGGTATAGCCAGTATAACCGCCCTTCGGCGTAACACACCACAAATCGACCCCGTTTCCGTCGTAAAAGTGACGTGACGCTAAATTATGATCAGTTAATATGAAATCGCAGTTCGGAGTGTGACTGTAAGGACGCCTACCGGTTTCTTTACAAACTGCAACTGACGTGAACGTATATTATTGAATCATGGCACCAGAAATAGAGAATGCAAAAGTCCTGTATAATGAATTGACCTCCAGAAATAAAATCTTGATGTGAACAGCTCACCAAAGAGTCTCTCCAATTATTACCTTCAGAAGAAGGCTATGTTTTTAGTAGCGTTTGCATGTATGTATGTATGTATTAGGTATGTATGTATGTATTTGTGTTTGCTACACATGTAGACAACCTGCTTCCTTAAAGTGCATGAAGGGGCTCCCCCTAGTTCCCATTGTTATATTGCACCGTCAAGTTATGCAATGCTCACAACTCACAGCAGCTTGGAAGAAAAATGTTATCATTACTTCTTCGAAATAAGTAGGTTATTGCGCCTTTTTGTTTTCATAACTGTGAGTTTCTATTTTGCCAGCTTTCCCTTAAATATCAACAGTAATAGTATAGGATATGGCAGTTTTCTTTTTTACACACCCAGTAAAAGGCGTTTCGGAAGTAACAGTTTATCCAAAGAAAAACTGCCAAGATAGAAAGCCTGGCAAAATACCTTAGAATGTTCAAAACAAGCTTAACCTCAAGCTTTGCATATCAATCAATAGGTTGTGCTTATAAACCTGCATTTCTCCTCTGGTCTCTCAGTCACTGACGAAAGGTAGTGGATACTAGCTGAAACGTCTGACCGTTTCCTTGGAAAATCATATCCAGTTGCTTGAGTAACTGCTTTTTGGCGTATCTTATTACCTGGATGTCTAACCTTCATCGACGTAAGCTTAACCTTTGTTGGGAGAGTAAACCGAAAGCAGTATGGTGACGTAATACATGGTTCTACAGTAGGTTCTTTGACATATATGAACGTGCTTGCGTCTCAACCCTCGCATTCTGTGCCCGGGAGGAGTTGGGAAACGTTCCATCTTGTCGCGTAGACTTCGCTCCCCGCCACCTGGCTTTTACGATAACGCAGTAAAACGTACTCTTACGGGATGTACGCACACTGGGACGCCTGGCGCCATTTTAACAGCCCCTTTCATGCCAATTTACACCTAGTCCCTATAGTTCACCTGTTCACGGGCTTCTGACACTAACAAATTACATCACTGCACTACATATTACTCTCCAAGCAAAGGTTGTGAGGGAATGATCGTTAGCTTTTTATGTATGGTCGTTTTTTTTGTCGCTACCCCCACCAACCTTCTCTGGCTAATAGATATTGTCTTGCCACCAAAAGGGATCTGCTTGGAGATTAACTGAACATAGAAAGTTACACATGAGTCTTAGTTGGTTCTAGTCTCCACCAGGTGGCCTCTACCAGGCTTCAGAAGCGACTGGAAAGAGTAGTAATAGACAAATAACATGCCAGCGGAGTTTGTATGCTAGAGCTAGGCTAGGAGTACATTTGCCCATGGAGGTCTTTTACCTCCATGATTTGCCACACCGTTACCGGACCAACTCCCCTGGCATGTTGTCTATCTGTTTGGCCAATTTCTACTCTTTCCAGGCGCTTTTGAAGCCTGGTAGAGGCTATCCACTAGGTCTTCCAAGTAAGATTCGGCAAACATACTGTGAATAATTGGCCATTGGAGTTGGCCGGAAAAAGGGTAATAACTGCGCTGGGAAAAGAGCTCTATTGTGGCCAAACTCCCCAGGCAAATTATTCTCTCAGCCCACGCTAGTCGTCTGGTGGTTTCCACAACTGCAGATGTGTCGTATAGATCCCCCAAAAGAGCCTTGAATGTCATTGTGCATATGATTTTCTCTCTATCTGACATTTTGTCAATAACTATGTTTGTCGAAGTTTTGTAGCAACGAAATTGATATATGACATTAACTGTCGCGACGTCAATTTTTTGTTAATATCACGAGAATAAGATGTTTGATTTGCTTCCGCCAGTCAAGTGCAAGTGCGAACTTTTGTTAACGTTTCGTGGCACCAGAGTTGAGCACAAGGGACCGCCACACTTTGAAATGGAGAAGGGCATCCAATACAACATCAATCTTGTCCCTTCTGTGGCCCTGAGAGACATCCACCCAGAGACACATCCAAGACCCTGACCTCTTCCATTAACTCTGGAGCGTCATCTTTAAACACTGTCTAGCTTTGCACCATAGAGGATAGGGATTGGGCAAAAAGGAGGACAAGCGTTGTGTCACATCAACAATACAGTTGCTATAAAGATTAACACTGCGATTACTTAAAAATCTATTGTATTGATTTTTGTAATTGATTCTAAGCAACCTTCAGTTGCTATATATATGTCATCACACTAGTTTAGCACTGCGCAACAGAGGACTTGTTCTTGGCAAAAGAAACACTCTTATTGTGTGATAGCTTCCTCAGCTAGTGACATCAAAATGAGGATTAGCACTGAGATTAAACCTAACCCCGTAACTCACATAAATTACTTCATATTTGTATGTCGATTGCTTTGACTGATGGTGTTCTTTTAGTACTATGGCCATCAATATTTAGTCTGTACGACAAATAGCGACTGTAGCCTGAGTTATGATTTCAAAACTCCAGAGCTTCAAAACGCGCAACGAACACAATACCAAGGAGCCTTCGGTTATTGCTTTGGTAACTAACATCATAAAATGCCGACGTAAATATGCCGTCTAGAGGTAGATAAAGATATTTACGGGTGTTCCCTTCATCTTGGCGTGAAGGTAATGACTCCGCCGCCTGGGAATATTGCCATACGCCGGGAGCTGGGCTGCATAATCTCCCCCTGCCATCTCATCTTCACATGCTACTGAAGTATGTCCACAGCAAGTAAATTTTATGGATGACATCCTCCGCAGACTCCAAATCTAATGCGATAGGGCGAGAAAAAAACAAGGCGGGCCGAAAAAAACAAGGTTCCTACATTTTAAATTTTTGACTCAATCATTGTACAAATGGTTTTGATTCAGTGGGAACATCACATTTACACAGCCAGCACCACATATCACTGCATCAAAGAAACAAAACATTAAATCAGAGCCTTTTCTCTCCTCTCTTCATAGTTATCTACCATCCACCTTCCGGCATGGCAACAGACCCACAGCCCATTTTCGGCATGTTGACCACTGTCAGAAGGCAACAAAATTTCTTCTTTTTTTCCAAAATCAGGCGAAAACTAATACAAGCGCTGATGTCATCCATAAACATTACTTGCTGTGGCCTAACCTCGCCTTGACAGGGGAGCCATTTGGCCATTTCTCGGGGATGGAACGCACATGCTCCGGGCAGTCATGTTTAAAGACGAGGAGATCCAATAGATGTGAGAGCGAAGCTGGCCGTAATGCATGCCTCTAAGTCCTGATGTATACTGATACCACGATAAGGCCATGTTGCGAAGGCCACGAGGCTTTCTTCACGCTCAGCCAACTAGCGTTATAAACCCCCCAGGTGAAACTCATTGTGTTCGGGCCACGCCGCTAAGATACTAATCTAGTTTGGGTTTAAGGCTGTGGGGTGAAAATGAACACTACATCAGTCAACACGTTCTCGCCTAGATGTATGTTTATGTTAGCCTCCATAGCATGCCAAAAACTGGCGGTTTTGGGGGGGTTATGGTCTTTGGGATCTTTTATGTGCTATTTTCTGATTGCATATAGACAACATAGCCGGCCTGGTTGAATTACCCGTTTTTTTTTTAGAACTGGGCTAATCAGAAAACAGGCGAAAACCACCAAACCCCCAGTTCTATAAGCCTGCTACGGAGGCTATGTTTATGTGAGGGCAAGGTTAATGCTGCTCCCGTGGATATGAGATATCCTGTGATGTGCCTGCGCCGTTGGAGGATGATATGATAGACACGGTGTACAGCCATTTGTCACACAGGGATTATCGCAAGAGCTCCTCTCAGACTAGACTTTGACGACAAGCTTCCATCTTCTCCATATGTATCGAAACTGGCGGTCCATAAAAAGTCGCTATCTGACAACAGAAAGCGTTTTAGTACTTTGGAGCCTAGTTTGAGGCAACCAGTTCGCAATGATATACGTTTTTCTGGTTAGCTTGAAAGATACAGGGATTTTAAAGAAGCCCTCGCAAAGAGGCCACATTCTTAATCACTGATACATTTATGGTTAGCGAATGTCTATCTCCTTTAAAAATCAGAGCATCATTCTTTGACATAACTGAGTGAGTGAGTGAGTGATTGAGTAAGTGAGTGAGTGAGTGAGCGAGCTTGAGTGAGTGAGTGAGTGAGAGAGTGAGCGAGCGAGTGAGTGACTGTGTGTGTGAGTGAGTGAGTGACTGTGTGTGTGACTGTGAGTGAGTGAGAAGGTGAGTGAGCGAGAGAGACAGGTATTGTCCATGAGCATGGTAATACAAACAGATTCTGCACTGACCTGAAAGCAACTGTTAACTTTTACCAACACTATTCACCACTACGAGAAAGATAAAGTGACAACACACGCACGTATCACCCTGTCATTGCTTTACTTCGCGTAACGAACATGATATCACCTCTATGGCTGTTTCCAAGCACTTTATGGAACGTTTCATAGAAACTGGTTAATCTTGAAATTCGGTAGTCGACCTCCTCAACCCGCAAGGAGTCGGTAATTCTGAATTCTGGATATACAATAAGAGAGAAAATGGATCGGCGACTTCTGTATATTACATGTGTGTGCATCTTCATTTACTCAGTTTTCCCTACTGCGTACCGCACTACGTATTACAGGTGAAGAACACTTTCCAATGTGGATTGTCGTAAATAGGAATGAATTGGTGCAACCAATGTTTACAGCTATTGCTAGCATCCACCTTATAACACAATCTGGAGCAGCTTGGTAACTTCTCATTGATATTGAATGCGAGGAATCTCGATATCTGGCTAAAAGCTGGATGGCACCATTATTTTATAAAGTGTCTCTTGTGGGCTAATTTACTGGAATGGTTGGATGTAGGGAAGACTGAGAAATGAGGACGAGCGCCTCGTCAGAGTTAAGTAAGAATCATCCCGTCGCTTCCGTGCAGTTATTAGTGTCAAGTGAAGATGAATTGGAGATTGAGAGTCTTCAGTACGTATTGGTTGCTCCAGTTGCATCCCGCAGCAGGTCACCTTGTAATCATGACTCTGTTGTCCGGAATGGATCGCACCACAGTAGTTTCGACGTCTCTCGCTGCCACGACCTCTTCTGTCCAGGCAGAGCGAACGTTTATCACCCGGGCGTGGCCGTGGTGGTGTCCATGGCAACTGTTGTTATGGCCGTGGTGTCCATGGCAACTGTTGTTATGGCAACCGTTGCTATGACAACCGCTGGTGTCCAACACCGTGCGGACCCTGTTGTTGTTGTGGTTCGGGTGGTTGGAGTTGTCCTCCGCAGGGAATCTTGGGAAATGATCCCGCTTGTTCTCTGGGAAGGGTTCAAAGGGCATGACGAGGTCCAGGCAGTCCGGCTCACTCGTCGTTTTTCCTATGGATGGAGAGGTCAGAGGTCAGGTCACAGGTCATACATGGTGTTTGCACTCACGTGATTTTGACGTCATTCATTCTCCGCCATGTTGAATGACTAAACCTGGACGTTAAATTTAAACCTGTATGTGTAAATACCGCCAATTTGCATACAAAAATTGCAAATTTAGCTTCGATTCATTGACATGTAAATAGGGACACCAAGATGGTGGAAAGTTTTCATTTTCATGACAGCCTCCTCCATAAATGGGAAATTTTCCAAGGACAAGGCAAAAAGAAGACCACATAGAATAACATTGAAATTAGATTCATACACCTAAATGTAAATTTGCTGGCGATTGTCATTGGTGCTTACGTGATTATAATTGCACACTGACCCAGAATATAGATGGATCATTCTGGGTTCTTAACGTTACGTGCTCCGAATAAAACTCATGTTACCGGGGATGCACGGAGGGCGACATTGGAGTGGAAAGGACATTGATTGCGTTCTGACACATCACTTTCCTTTCCATTAAATCCTAATTCCAGCCGCGGCACATGATGGATTCATGCTTCCCCTTGAATTGTTCTCATGTACATGTAGTAGTGGGTAGCTAGGCTCCTCATGGAATTTGAAACTTTGTATCAAATTAACTTAATAATGGGACCTGCCAAACTATTACACTTGTCTTGAATGTTTTTCAGCATACATTTTCCCTTATCGCTAGAAATATGCTATTTCATGCACATTGCTGTTCACTACAATATGCAATATCTCTTGACTTTCTTTGTTCGATTTGCCTTTCTAGTGATAACGTTACTAACTACAAGAACATTGAGTGCATCACTACTGTGTCCTTATGTTGCGAAACGATCACACTGTAGACAATGCTTCTTGTAGCAAAATCAAAACTGTTCCTTGAAGCAAAACCAAAACTGTCACAAACACTGTAGACAATTTTCCTTGTAGCAAAACCGCCACAAATAGCCACAAACACTGTTACTATGACTTACTCAGTTGCGTGCTTTCCTCATCCACGTCTGAGAATTTGGCACATCGCCAGATCTCACTGCTTGTCTGTCTGGGGGGAACGTCAGTCCCGAGTTCCGCCACTCCGACTACCCTAGTCTTCCGCTTCCTCTGCAACTTCTGCACCTACAGACATGGAAAGCAATGGAATTGCAAATAGTGACCCTCTACGTTTATCAGATTTTTACCTTCGCCAAGAAGGTTATGTTTTCAGCAGCGTTTGTCTGTGAACAGCATAGCTCTATATGTTGTTCATGCTAGCTTTATATGCATTGTCAAGAAACTTGGTAGGTGGGTAGGTCTTGATGAGACCTAGAAATGATTAGATTTTGGCCCCCCAGGTGGCTTTTGTTGATACTGCAGCTGAACTTCCGATTTTGATATCTCATGAACTGGACATGATAGGGTTACGAATTGTGGATGGTAGATAGCTCTTGGGCTAGTTTTAAAATGACTTGAAAGCACTTGAAAAACAACATTGTGCAACATTATGTGGCGTTCTGTATTGCAATGCATTGTTAGTCTGCGAGTGTTGTGCATGTTCGGCCATCCATGACCTATGTGACCTGGGCTTCGTCTAACTTTCTTATTCTAGAATAAAGACTTGTTTTACATACTACTAGATAGAAAGACATGGTTGATTATGAATATCAAGTGCTTTGCTAGGTATCTAACAGAAACGGTTGTCTGTAAGTCGGAAACCAGCAGAATGTTGACGTATTGTCGACCAACATATTGTCTGTGTGTCTACATGCTGTTTTAGACCTTACGAAAGTCGCTGTACTTTTGTTGTGTCAATAAAGTTCATAAAAGACATTTAATAAAGGCTCTGAAAGTTTTCAACTGTTACATGCTCCCCCGTACTCCTACTCTCTACGGAGTTAAACTAACTTTAAGGTTTTAATTTCATACCGTACATTTCATATACATCCAACTGAGCAAGTTTATGTATGTTTCTCAGCTTGACACATGGGTTACATGGAGACTCTCCCGTCACGCTAGATTTAATTATCAGATACCATTCTGCCGCATGGTGCCTGAACTACTGAGACTTAATTGAATGGCGCTCGACACAAAACCCGTCACTGTCACAGCCGGTAACTCTCACATGAGCACGTCCTTTGGATTTTTACCAAGGCGAGAAAAATGTGCTGCGAATACAACAGGGGAATACAGTACACGTTTGGTACCAGTTGATTAAGAGAAAATGTATGGTAGAAGCATTGGAAAAAGACATGCATGGTGGTGATTCGTCATACAGAATTTGACGGGTTAATTCATCTATATCTTCTACGCGATGACTAGATGTTCAAGGGTTAGGTGTAACAAGTCGATCGGTGTAATACAGCCAGCTGCCGCCGCGCCGCGTGCCTACGAAGCTGGTGTGTTATACCGAAGGGTGATTATACCGGCTAAACAGATACAGAAGCTGGTGTGTTACGCCGAAGGGCGATTATACCAGCTAAACAGATACAGATGAAGACTACTGTGGAACTTGTAGTAACACTTTGAGTTATCGAACTTTCACAGCCTGTTGACTGATCCATATCGAGATATGAAAACCCCGTGAAGAAATCAACAGGAAGGTTTTTCGAAACTCACTCAACTTTACACGCCTCAATACTTGGTTTTAAAAAAATTGTAAGATTGCAAGATTTTATATCATCATTAGTATTGATAGTAACTATATTTGCCTTAAGGGAAAAAGTATGAAACTTAGTTCATATTTAAACGGCAACAAAAGTTATCAAAGACATTAGAACAACAGAATTCTTTATAATGGAACAGAATAGAGAGAGTACTAGAACATAGAATAGAACAAAGAACGTGCTAAAAATGAAATGGAACATAGAACAGAACACAGAACGTGCTAGAAATGAAATAGAACATAGAATAGAACACAGAACGTCCTAGGAATGAAATAGAACATTGAAGACGCAAAAGTCCTGTTGTTGGGTAACGCCCACCCACGAGAAAGTGCTTCAACGATAATCTCCAAGCAGATCCTAGGGTGGCAAAAAGACAGAATCAAATTGGCCAGGCAGCATCCATTAACCAGAGAAGGTCGCCGGCCACCGACGTTAGTGGGGTTAGCGACTAAAAAAACGGCCATATATAAAAAGGAAACGATCTTTCCCCCACAACCTCTGCTTGGAGAGTACTTCAGAGATGCCTTTATGAACAATTTGCATACCGAGCCACGTTCGTCCGGTATACCGGTAAAAACGACGGGAATAGATAGTGGTAAGAACACTCAAAAAGCCCCCGTGGATTTTACAGCTGAAAGACCGCGACGTGAGACTTGCTGGGAAGTGATCATTTGTGGCACGGCCTGCCCGGAATACGCGCAGCTCTTAACGTAATGTCTGCCCGCATCATTGGAGCGGTGAAACAACCTGACTCATCCGCGGTCTCTTATGCTGAGGTCACATTTCCAAACCGGTTCCCGGCCGGGCTGTCGTATGGAACGAAAAGTTTGATATAAAAGACAAAAAAAGCACCAAAAAAGTTGGAAAAATTAATAATGGGAACTATTTGGGTATATTATTGATACAAATTGTTGATTTTTCGTTAATCAAAACAGCCCGGCCGGGCCCTGGTTTGGAAATGTGACCTCAGCAATAGGTCCCATTTCCAGTAGACGGCAATCGCTCAGCGACCGTACAGAGACCTAACTTGGATTTGTGACCCTTGGATGTAAAAGTATTATTTAAAGGAGACCAAAAGACACAAAACGTGAGATTTGCTAGGAAGTGATCATTTGTGGCACGGCCTGCCCGGAATACGCGCAGCTCTTAACGTAATGTCTGCCCGCATCATTGGAGCGGTGAAACAACCTGACTCATCCGCGGTCTCTTTGCACCCGTTTCCGGTAGACTGTGATCGCTGAGCGACCGTACAGAGACCTAACTTGCATGTGTGACCCTTGGACTATAAACGGAAGATGTAAAAGTATTTATTATTCAAAAGAGAGCAAACGTTAAAAGATTCTTTCCTCAGTAGTTGAAAGGGGGTATTAGTACATTATATTGTGCTTATGATGGTACATTGAACGATTCCGGGCCTTTCTTCCCATTTAAGTTCTCATTCACGGGTTAAGTTTGCGGGACATTGTTGCAGAGCCAAGCAAGAGGTAGTCTCGACCGTCCTCCTGTGGAGACCGAGGGGCAGAGTGCATTCCAGACGTTTGACTTTCACTGACTCTTTGGTCAAAGAAACTGGCATTGACTTTGATTCTTTAGAAAAAGCTATGTTAGATAAGGATCTATGGAGAGAAATCTGCACTTGCTTGGTCCCGGCAATAGATAGATAGATAGTATATAGTTCTGTTCTCTATACACTGTTAAGGATAAAGTGCTGAGTGGTGTTAAAATGATGGGCAGCCCGGGGTTCAAACCGTCCCTCCGCAATTATCCCGCTGACACTCCCTGCCTTAAACCTGCGGCCGATGAACCCGCGCGCAGATTACCCGCACATCGGGCCAAGTCTCGTTTAGCCGGATCAAAGCGGGAAGAGGGCACATTTCATTAGCGGGGATAACGTTTGATCTTTCGTAGTGATTCGCCACGCATACTGAGGAGCTAGCCTCTGTCACGGTATTCAGAACCGTGTCTATTTAGTTCTATGCCTGAATCGGTTCAGAACTTGAGATAAGGATTGTGCACGGTTCTTGATAGTCTGTATTGTATCCAGAACCGCGTCTATCTAGTTCTATGCCTGGATGGGCTGTGGTTAGGATTATGCACGGTTCTGGATAGCCTGTATTGTATCCAGAACCGCGTCTATCTAGTTCATGTCTGCATGGGTTAGGGTTAGGGTTAGGGTTAGGGTTAGGGTTAGGATAAGGCACGGTTCTGGATAGTCTCCGCGTACCCGTGAACATAGATTTGCCCTAAGCACGGTTCTGGATACGCGTGGACTATCCAGAACTGTTCGAGGGCATAGTTCTGGATATAGCCCGTTTCTGGATACATCAAGATCTTTCTACATTTGATGATCCATACATGCGTGTTTGACATGGAGTTGCTCAGGCACGGTTCTGGATAGTCCACGCGTTGCCTGGGGCAAATCTGCGTTCTTGAAAACGCGGAGACTATCCAGATCCTAACCCTAACCCGTTAAGGCATAGAACTAGATAGGCACGGTTCTGGATACAATGTAACCTATTCAGGCATAGAACTAGATAGGCACGGTTCTGGATACAATATAACCCATTCAGGCATAGAACTAGATAGGCACGGCTCGGGATACAATATACAGTAACCCATACAGGGAAAGAACTAGATAGGCACGGTTCTGGCTACAATATAGCCCATTCAGGCATAGAACTAGATAGGCACGGTTCTGGCTACAATATAGCCCATTCAGGCATAGAACTAGATAGGCACGGTTCTGGCTACAATATAGCCCATTCAGGCATAGAACTAGAAAGGCACGGTTCTGGATACAATGTAACCCATTCAGGCATAGAACTAGATAGACGCGGTTCTGGACACAATAGAACTTACAATACATCTGCTTAATAGTTGAGGCGCTTGGTTCATGTACAGAATACTTTATTATTCTAGCCTGGTTACCAAACCTATTATAGCTCGCGAGTCCTACATCCTCTCCTCTAATATTCACGCATGAATGGCCCTACAAATTTAATGAAATGCCTCGCTGCATCTACGCGGCTGTATGTTCTATTGCCAGGTGCGGTAACTAAGAAGAAGAAGAAGAACTAATGACTTGTTTTTCATCGCTTGTGTTTTGTTGCTAAGCGACATTCGTTGCTAGGCGACGTGATAACCAGATGACGACAGCGGCAATATAAGCGACTGGCCTTCAAACATTGAAAATATGAAAGACTAGATAAGACTCTATATATATATGGCGACGTGGAACCTTGCTGTAAAAATGCCTGCAAGGTATATTGTATTTTAAGTCTCTACCGGAAACAAGGCTTAATAGACGCGTAGAGGGCCTTTTGTTATCAAATATTCTTTAAAATATCACAGGAAAAGGATATACAAGAATAGCTGTAGCCTCTAGGCTTCGAAGTTCCCACCATGAAAGAATTTATTATTTTTATGAATTTTATAAAATTTGGATCGTAATCATAAGTTCTTTACTTTACAGG